TCATTATAGGATATATGTATTTTTTTTTGGCTTACCACAAATTTCAGTTTAAAATAATAACTGTCTCACCCCCTCCGAAGACAGGATACAAACAATTGCGTCAAAAATCACTAAATGGGAACAAAGTCTTTTCTTATGTTTATTTTTATGGATAGTAGCTAAAGAACTCATTGCTGAAGTAAGTAAATTAGCAAGAGTCAAAAAAGACTCATAATTTGCATTGATAACACACATTTCTAAGATACTTACTGATAATTTACATTAAGACACTAATAAATCTAATTTAAAATTAAACTTCAAACATTCTTGACCTTTTGCCCTTGCTAAAGACAAATTATACTGGTTCAGAATAAATAGTCCTGTAGGTGAAGTCATGTTTATTCAACAGTACCTGATTTTGGAGTATAATTCAGTGCAAGTGGATAGCAATCCTCCAGAAAACTTCCGATGTTTTATGTCTCTGCAATTCTTGGAGTTAGGAACCACAGTCAATAGATACTCTGTGTCTTTGTACAAATAATTCCCTCTTCCCACAATTTCTCCAGTTAATTTCTTCCATTTATGTAAATTATTGACATGGGCAGTGTCCTCCAGTTTAACAAGGGGTTGCTTTTCGGTTTTGAGCTTCCACTGAATATTTTTATACTCCATCATGAAAGAAATGGCAAGTGAGTACTGCTTGTTGAGTAATTCCCCCTCTCAAGTTTTGTACGTACTGGTTCTTGTGCTGCCCTGCAGTTATGCCTCATTTGCTCTTTTTTGAAAGTGTCAACATTGAAACACAAACAATGTAACCCTCTTGGAGCACACCTACATCAGCTGGGTTGGCCTAGTAAAGGCCTGTCTGTTCTGTTGTAATTCAGTAGTACAACCTTCAACTTCCTGGATTTATCCAAACTGTGTAATTTTAAGTTGCCTGTCTTCTGCCATTCTGACATGGAGAATATATACATTTCTGATGGCAGTGAGTGAAGTCCTGGGTTTTCACCCACCTTGATAATGGAGTGACCAGTTGAAGCTTCTTCCTCCATGTATTTCTTCCTCTATAACTTCATTAATGTTATCTGTCTGCTGAGTTTGGAAATCAGCATTTTAGGTGCCCTTGAATTCTGAGGAGCATGGAATATTTCTTTCTGTAGGTATGAAACATTTGTTTCAAGTGATTTAAAGAGCATGCAAAGTGTACTGAATATATAACTTAGAGGAAAACCAATTAAGAACTTCCCTTGTGTACAGTTTACATCTGTTTATTTTATAGAGAGTTTAATGTTAGTGCTGGGCTGCTGAGTATCTTCAGGCATTTTTGTGAACTCAGAGTATAATAGCATATTTTCAGTGAAATCAAATGTGCCCAAAGTACCTGTTAGCATAAGAATCTGCTGTGGTATAGGCCTGTTAAATATTAATGCAAAGACTTGCCATTGCACATTTTTACCCATAATTTCTTTAATTTAGTATTACTTATCTTTGCATAATTTAAATATAGACATCTGGACAGTTTACTTAAGCAGCATAATGTTATGTTTTACTGAAGGTGTCTGTAGAGTGTATTCTTAGGGCTGTGTGCAATAGCTAACTGTTCAATATTTCAATAAAAACCATGAATTTTTGCAGTGGAAGGTGTAACAGAAATTAAAGTTCTCCAAGAGGTTCTGTTCATTAAAAGGGAAGTGTGCCAATTCTGTATCCTGTGTGCTGGGCCAGTAGCAGCATATGTTTCAATTTACTGGTAGGTTGGTCAAGGAATGTTAGAAACGTCTTTTGGGCTTATTTTCTTTTAAAATATAATTCAATATGCTGTTTATTAAGGAAGTAAACTTTTGTGATTCCATTTTTGTGTTTGCATTTACAGAAACACATTTAAAGAAATTGCCTGTATCTTAGAGATGGTCTTTATCATGGGCAGTTCTATATGATGATTAACTCTATGGCTCAAATAGGTACTTTACATAAAGGTTTTTTTTTCCTAAACTACCAGAACACATCTTGGCTGTGAGCTTGGAAATGTCTTCTTATCAGTTAATACATCAAATTCTATGCATCAGTGCAGAAGGGATGAGATTTCACAATAGCTCTTACATCTCTCACAGAAGTGTTACTGTTATCAGGATATTTCTGAGTGCTGAGTCAGAGCTGAGTTCAAAGAAACCATCATTTAAAATACACAATATGATACCCTTATTTTAACTTTGACTCAAGGAAGTTTTTTTCTTATATACTGACTCAGAATTATTTTCTGAGCTTCTACTCTTCAAATGAGTCAATTTAATCTATCAGCTCCTAAAGAAGAAAACCTTTCTTTCTCCTCACACAGTAGCCATTTATATTAACTGGAGTACTCCTTTGTGGATAATACTGGGCTTGCTTTATTTTCCACAATTCATGAATGCATCTTAAATACTGAGGGAGTATGATACAGTTTTCTGTTTGAGCATAATTGAAGTTAAAATTCATGCGGTATATTCTACTTCCTTAAACTGTACCTTGAGGTTTTAATAAATTTTCTGAATTAGTATTTTTTAGTGGGCACGGTGACCTTTCCTGCCCTTGTCATTTGACTTATGGATTCACTGCTTCTTAAAATCGTTCTGCACAAATGAATCACATCCTGGTTCAAACCAAATAATTTCTCTGCCTTATAATAGCTTTTAGACTTTCAATTTCTTTCAAAAGAGGTCTGTCCTCCTTTAGAAACATCCTTCCTATGCTGTTAAGGATGAAAGAGGGACAATTTGGCTACTTCTTTCTGGTCTTTTTCTTCTCTTTCTCACTCTGTAGGAGAACAGAGTAATAAAGATCTGCTGTTGATGGGGTTTCTCTGATTTTTGGTTTGGGGCAAAAGGGCACAGTTTGTCATTTGGAGGCTTCCTTGAAGAAGCTTTTGAATCTGGAAGTAAATTTTAAGCTAAATTATTACAGTTTAGCAATTACTCCAGATACCTCTTTAAAATTTTATATTTAAATGCAGTGGATAGCAGCTGAGATGATTGTAATGCTTCCATCAACAGGGTGTATTCTGTGTATGAGTGATAGTAATTTACAAGATAAGGGTTTAGAGACTTGATTAATTTGTGTTCTTTAATTTTAGATCTGAATAAATAAACAACACATCTCTTTTAAATCACAATTGCACATGCTTGATATACATATATAGTAACAATGGGTTAAATGTTAAAAGACAGGAAAATGAAAGAATCTTTTTTTTTTTCTTCTTTATTTGTGAGATCTTTTTCTCACTCAGTGAGACATCCTGGCATGTGTATTTTTAACTTGGGATGTTGGCAAATGCTTAGTAATGCTGGGGAAAAAAAAAAAAAAAAGCTCTTAAATGTTTTTCCATTGGGCCAAAGGTGCCAGCAGTTGTGTAAATGGCCACCAGTCCTCAGTGTTTTAAGTCTTCAACTCATCTTATGAGAACGTTATAAATTATGTGTAACTGCAGGTGCCACTCAGTAAGTATTTAATATGTGATAGGTATTTTGGACTGAAATTACTTTTTCACTCGAACAATTATTTTTATTTTATTTTCATTTTATGAGGTGCCACCTAGAATAGCAAGGAATAGCTGGGTCCAGTTTGAATGTCAGGGAGATGCAGGACAACATGAGTCACAGCTTTTTGCTTTCTTCCTGAAAACCAAAGAACTTCTTAATTCATTCATGACCAGAGCAGGATTTCCCAGTTTTGTTTTGGAATGTCTTTTGTATGTTGTGTCATCATCTTGTGTTGCCCAGGTGCATATATACTTAGGATTTTTTTAAGCAGTATCAATGTTGATGACATTTGTGCTTTGCAGGGAAATGAGATATTGGATCTGTTTTCTTCTTGCAGATTTGTCAAGTTGCTGTACTTGGGAAAATACATGTAACAATCTATCTGTCTTTTCTTACAAACAGTGTACTGTCTTGATTGGCTCTGGCAAAGGCATACAGACGACTTGGAAAAGGAGTAGTCATGCTGCTGTCAGAAAACATATATGCTGTGTTTATTAGCACCTGGAGAAAAGTGTGAGCCTTATAATACACAGAAGTGCTGATGTTGCCTGTCCTTGAGTTGTCAGTCTTCCTTGGCTCACAAGGGCTTAGCTGTTCTACCTAGAACAACATCTTCATTTTGACAGGCAGTGTGTGTACACATTCACAGTCTGTGTTGCCATTATCCTCCAAGCCTAGAAGCCAGTAGGACTTTGTTTCAACTCGAAAAAGAAACTTTATAAATACTAAAACATATTTCAAAACTATAGTTAATTATTTCTTGCATAGACTGTCTGATTAGTACATCACATATTTTATCCAAGGTTGAAGTCTCCCACTTGTCCTGCTG